CACACACACACACACACACACACACACACACACACACACATTTGCCGAGTTTGGTTAGAGAGGTATCATTAATACTGTCGCGTTTTGTAATGCGAAGGTCACAGCTCGACTAAACTATACAAAGAATTTTGTCTACGGAGATGGAGGCATATATAGTTAGACCTGCTTTAACGGCCACTTGTACTACTTGTATAAGACAATCACCTATACCGATGGCCACCCCTCCCTCCCTTCCTCCCTTTTCCGAATTTTTTCATTATGACGACTCTGTGTAAGACATCCCCCTGTCCACTTGTCTAACACAACCATTTTTGTCCTGGACAACGCCTGGCCGTCTTGAATATACACTTGTAAAGTTTCTACCATCCGTTATAAATGTTTTGATAATGCTCCACCATAATCTGTCTGGGCTTTTAACACCGTATGATTCATCCCGTCACTTACGGTCATCCACAGACCCAACAAAATTCAGATGTTCTTGAAAGAACTTAATTTCTTTTGGCGAGAGAAATTTCTCTCTTTTTTTGCCCTAAAATCTGGAGCTTCTTTCCCTAGGACCTCAGAGAAATAACAAAATCCTATTATGTTTAAGCGATTGCTCAAGACTCCTTTGTTTAATTCTTATCTGTAGTGTGTTAGTAAGAGCTAATATGTTTTGATATTACTTCTGTGCTTACATAAAATGATTAACGTATGGTTGAGAATGTTCTTCTTTATGGGGTTGAACTGGTTTTCTTGCTACTGGGATTTCAATGTTTTATCTTGTGTGAATGAAGTAATCATGGGCACCCTCTTCGGAGACGTCTCCGGCGAGCACACAGGAACTATTCGGAGACGTACTCCCGCACACAGATGCATTGCTTTGGGGGGTCAAACTGCGTATTGTTTGCTGCAGATCACACATATTATAGCTACTAAAACTGTCGCAAATCAATTATTTTCAAGAAAATTTCAAACCTAACTGCAAAATATCAAATTATGGGTTAAAACAGGGGGGCATGCCCCTCTGTAACCCTCCAGATTTTTTTACTAAGTCCAGAGGCGCAAAGCATTTTGATTGGCCTATCTCCGTCGGAGGCGTCTCCGAATAGATACTGCGGTAATCATGTGATCGATGCAAAGCGCTCAGAGCTTCGTATAAAAGCGGTCTATTGTTATTATTATCCAACCTGTTGGACTGTATGATGTTTGTTTTCCCGCAGGAACAAGTACGGCATGTGGATCTATACCGCCTACCTGCTGGTCTACATGCTCTTCCTAGCCTCCCTAACCAGCTTTGTCGTCAACCACAACTCTCTCAGGGTAAATACTGGTCTGTTTGTCTGTCTGTCTGTCTGTCTGTCTGTCTGTCTGTCTGTCTGTCTGTCTGTCTGTCTGTCTGTCTGTCCTCCTAGCCTCCTTAACCATCTTTGTGGTCAACCACAACTCTCTCAGGGTAAATACTGGCCTGTCTGTCTGTCTGTCTGGATGGCTGGCTGGCTGGGAGGCTGTCTGTCTGTCTGTCTATCTGTCTGTCTGTTTGTCTGTCTGTCTGTCTGTCTGTCCTCCTAGCCTCCCTAACCAGCTATGTGGTCAACCACACCTCTCTCAGGATAAATACTGGTCTGTCTGTCTGTCTGTCTGTCTGTCTGTCTGTCTGTCTGTCTGTCTGTCTGTCTGTCTGTATGTCTGTCTGTCTGTCTGTCTGTGTATCTTATTTTATCTTATCTTTCACATTATTATTATAATTACCATTATGAGTATCGTATCTCATCTCACCAATCAAATCTTATTTTTTTATTGTCTATCTTATCTTTTCATTATCACTATCACTATCATTCTCATTCTCATTATCAGTATCTTATCTTATCTGTTCTTATCTTATCTTACACATTATCATTATGATTATCATTATCAGTATCTTATCTTACCTTATGTTGTCTTATCTTGTCCTATTTTATATTTTATTGTCTTATTTTATCCTATCTTATCATTATCAATACCATTATCACTTTCATTTTCATTATCATTATCAAATCTTATCTTATCTCATCTTATCTTACCTCATCTCATCTCATCTCATCTCATTATCTCATCATATCTTACCTCATCTTACCCCATCTCATCTCATCTCATTATCTCATCTCATCTCATTATCTCATCATATCTCATCTCATCTCATCTCATCTCATCTCATCTCATCTCATCCTCCAGCACCACGACTATGGCGCGGACAACAATACCACGATCTACCTAGGCGGGAACACAGAGAGCGGCTACAACTACTCTCCCATCTACATGCTGGCGCTGTGGTTTATCGCTGTCTACAGCGCCCTGAATGTGGTCAAGGAAGTGTTTCAGATATTTACACAGGTACGATGAGGTCGTTGATTGCTTCCTCCGTCTATCTGTGTGTCTGTGTGTATGTGAATCTGTGTGTCGGTGTGTTTGTGTGCCTGTCTATCTGACTGTCTGTCTGTCTGTCTGTCTGTCTGTCTGTCTGTCTGTCTGTCTGTCTGTCTGTGCGTCTCTATAGAGAAAATATCAAACCAATGTGCAATGTTTGAGCTGTAAAGATCAATCATATTTTATCTCTTATTAAATCTTAAGCGACTAATATTGAGTCGAAGAGAGTAAAACATATTCCCATATGACTGAAATTATTATTAATAATAATAAACAGAATTTATGCTGCACATTTTTTGTTTCCTAAAAAATAAAGCTCTGCACACACTACAGCCAAAGATGCAACAACCCACCGGGGCGGTGCTATTGACTGAAATGTCTTTAGGTCATTCTCAAAGGAGGACATTAACATGTTCTTATGCACAGTAGAATTGTAAATGGGCTGATTAATCAATGTCAAGCTCATAACTGTGCCTGAACTGCAACCGAGAACTGCTGCTTTTTCTTTCTTAATCCTCGCTGTATATCGTCATTTTTCCTTCATTTCGTTTGTATGTTTGTCACACTCTTGTTACCCGTTATTTCCGGGGTGCCTTGATAGCCGAAGCAGACTGTGCTGTTGTGCTAGAGAGGTGAGCAGAGTAAGCCTGGTTCCCTGTAAGAACTTCTCTGTTGACATCCACCCGTTGGCGCTCAAATGACCTTATGCAGTTGCGAGCGTCGTAAAAGCTCTACTGAAAACTTTTTTTTAAAGATGCAACAACGCTAATGCTAATCTGCCTTCTCCTTTCCCCAGGGAACACACTACTTCGCCGATATCGGAAACGGCCTGGAGTGGTGTCTGTACATCACCTCTCTGGTCTTCTCGACGCCTTTCCTCATGGGGATGGCTTTCCACTTCCAGTGGGAGGCAGGAGCCCTCGCCATCTTCTTCGCCTGGTTCAACTGTCTTGTGTTTCTGCAGAGGTAAGACATGGGGAGGGGAGGTGGTGGGGCTCGTGGTCTAGAGGTACGGTGTTTGCCTCTCATTCAATAGGTCCCGGGTTTGAAACCTGACAGCGAACGAAAAATTGTTCATCCATAAAATGTTCTTCTTTCACTCCCTTTCCTGCTTCCTAACCATGTTCTGTCGTTTGCTTTTGTCTCCACTTTTGTCTCCACTTTCTGCCCCCTCCACCTTCCCCCTTTGCCCCCTCCTCTGGGCTCCTGACTCTCCCTGCAGCCTTTTTACTGCCACTTCTTGGATCTTTCTTATTGCTGTCTGTGTACAACACTTACCAACAAAAAAAAGAGGCAAGACGTCGGTGGTCTAGTGGTTAGCTGCTGGACTCGTAATAGTGAGACTGCAAGTTTGGCTGTCTGAGGCTCAACTCTATTCGATGTTGTGTCCTTGGAAAAGGCACTTTTCACGGGTTTTCCCGTTTTTCTCAGTCCTGTCGGAGAGGTAAAATTCGGAGGTCCCGCCCCTCAAATAGCTTTACAGTGTTGCAAGGGGCGTTCAACTCTCTCCATTTCGCACAGTTAGCACATTGACTTTGAGACTCCAGAATAATTAGGTCTATCTCAGTTACACTCACAGCTGAAATACATGTACTTGAGTTTTAAGTTTTCAAATACTATGTCTCCCTAAATAATGAAACTAAAAAATAACACAGTTTTTGTCCCATGAATTAAAGGAATGGAGATTTTATTTTTTGCATAAAGACGTAAATTAGGTACGGTTTGAGGGGGAGGGGGGCAGGCCGCAATAACTCTTAGCTCCAAACACTAGAAATGCCGAATTAGGGCCTTTTTCAAATTCTGGGATCACGAAAGTATGTGTCTTTAAGATTCTGTTGATACAATAATTGGTTCAATTACATCATGTTTTAGCAAAAGAAAAGGTACCAAACATGCTGAAATATTGCTTAATGTAAAAAGTTCTCAACGAAATACATGTAATAGGGCTATTCGTGTTCATCTATCTATCTATCTACATTTGTGTGTGTATGTCTATGTGTGTCTCTCTCTCCCTCCCCTCTGACCCCCCCCTCTCTCTCTCTCTCTCTCTCTCTCTCTCTCTCTCTCTCTCTCTCTCTCTCTCTCTCTCTCTCTCTCTCTCTCTCTCTCTCTCTCTCTCTCTCTCTATCTATCTATCTATCTATCTATCTATCTATCTATCTATCTATCTATCTATCTATATATCTATCTTGTTCCCAGGTTTGACTTCTTTGGCATCTACGTTGTCATGTTCCTGGAGATTCTGCGTACTCTGGTGCAGGTGTTGTGTGTCTTCTCCATCCTCATCATCGCCTTCGGCCTGGCCTTCTACATGCTCATGTTCAAAGAGGTGAGTGCGGGCAGGGTCCGGGTATTGCTGAAGTTGTTGGTGACGTTGAATCCCTCTCAACCCGGGCTGGCCCTGACAGATAGAGCTGACGTCCACCTCCTAAATAATCTAAATTGTGTCTTTGAAGGCATAAAAAACCCACCTTCGTATTTTTTTCTTAACTGTCTGGTAACACCTCTAATCTTCGACGCTTACATAACCTATTCGAGATGTGAGTGCTGTAAAACTTTTACTTTATAAAAACTGAATAAAACGGTGTGTTGTATGTTTATTGTTTGGTGTTTCATGGGTCTTAACCTGACCTGACCATCACTGATTTATTCCAGGTGTCCAAAGCGTACTCCACCCCAGGCCTGGCTCTGCTGCGGACCTTCATGATGATGCTGGAGCTGGACTACATGGCCTCCTTCAACGAGTACTTCGTGGACGGCGACGACAGGACGCTGCACTTTGGGAACCTCACACTGGTCATGCTCGTCATCTTCGTCCTTCTCATGCCCATTCTGCTCATGAATTTACTGGTAAGCTGCTTCGAACCTGTACCATGGCGTGGTATGCATACTAGGCCCTTTTGTGCAAAAGTATAGTTTTGTATGCTGTAGCACGACATAATATGCATTTATGTGGTTTGGTATGTTACGGTATGGTATGGTACGATACAGTTTGGTACAGTATGGTACGATACGCTGTGGTTTTGGTCAAAGATCGTACATAACAAGATCGTTCGCTCAACCAAAAAAGTGCCCGCGGAAGTCCGCACATTGCTTCAGATGGCGCTGCAGTCCTTGTTGTAAAGCTCTCTTTCGTTTCTCGAGAAGACGAATAGGAATAGCTCAGCTTGTTAGTTTCCCTTTTATTGTTTTTCACCCAAGTAAGGTAACACAGTTTGCAAAGTGTGCGATTTTTCGAGGAGGGCTCCGCCAAATTTTGAGGACACTGTTTTAATTGGCTCAAAGAGAGGAGCGAGCTATCTTGTATACGCGGTCTTTGGGAAGGTATAATATGGTACGATACGGAGCGGTGTGGTACAGTATGGTACGATAAGGTACGTCACGGTGTGGTACATGATGGTACGGCACAGTGTGTATGGGATACTGTCCTATGCTATGCAGCACTGCTTTGATATGCTGTGATGGGATATCCTTATCCTTAAGTTAACATCATTTATAATGTGATATAATCCGATCGCGATTAAAAATTGGAGAGGAATTTGCTTTTTGCCTGATTGTCAATGTCAAGGACATCTGGGCAGTTTTTAGCTGACTGGTTAGCTCTCTCTCCTCAATCTCTCTCTCTCTCTCTCTCTCTCTCT